AGACGTTTCGAAGTCTGCAAATACGTGGTGGGAAGATCAAAGGCCCCCTGGAGACAAGACGCTGTTTGATTCCCAAAACAAGTCGGGCGGCCGGGGGGGGAAACGACTTAGCGAAGAAACCGGTCCTGAGCAGCTATGATAAACCCTGCGTGTACCTCCATCATTAAATGCCCCCACCCCCAAAGGGTCTCACGTCTCCAGCCAATGAAATTCCAAGTTGGCAGATGTTCGTCCTGGAGTATTTTACCAGCTGCCCGCGTAAGGCAATCTGCCCCAAACACAGGGAGGTACCGTCCCACTCCACCTCCACCCAATCAGGTCAGCCGCTGCAGCGGGTTCTTCGGGCAGATTTCAGGGCAAGTACCTACCCTACAGCACCAGTGAAACGCAGCCGCCTGTGGGGCGGAGGGTGGCAGTCAAACCGAGGACGGAACGGAGAGGGGCCAATGTGGTCCTGTGTCAAGCACAAAATGAACTCCAGGCCCCAGAGTGCTGCAAAACGACGCAGGAAAACCACGGCATGCCCCACGTGCAACTGGGCACGTGCCCGCGGCCGCCTGGCTTACACGCCAAAGCTGTAAATACCTTCATGCGTGAACTAGGCAGGTATTCTACATGTTGTTAACTATAGCGGAAGTTAGGGCCCCAACCGTGCGCAGGGCGGGGGTGGAAGAGGGTCTACACAGGCAGCAAGAGACAGCTCCTTCCAATGAGAGCTTATCATCTAAGCAGGCAAGACGGAAGATGGGAAATAATCTTTCCTTTCTCCGTTGTACAGGCTGGAGAATGCAGGCTGAGATTAAACGACTTACCCATGGTCACCCAGGGAGTCGGTGGCAGAGGCAGGAACTGACCCCAGGTTTCCTGAGTACCAGCCAAGGGTCTTGACCCATAAGATCATCCTTCCTCTTTACACAAATACCTTTCGGGAGCAGTCCAAGTCGAATTGAGTGGTTCCTGGGGTTTTACAGCTCGGATTGTTAAGAGGTCCCGGAGGGGAGATAAAAAAGGCTTGTCCTATTTCGGTTAGAGAGGAGCTGGGTGGGAGATGATTTATAGATAATGACTGGTTAACGAAGAAACCAGCCGCCACTTCTCTTCCTCCTGCCACAGCAAAGCAAGGAGCTCCTCCGCCCGACAGGCAGTAACTCTGAAAAGCTGTAAATTTGCTACCAGTCAATCTGCCGGAGGCAGCATGTAGCGAACCTGTGGAATTCGTCGCCACCGGCGCTCAGCAAAGCCAACAGTTGGGCGGGATTTGCACAGGGGGATTTACGGGCACCCACCAACCAACAGAGGCAGCTGTACAAAGCGAAGGAGTCGGGTCAAAAAATGTTCCGACAAATCGTCACGCTGCAGGGCAGAGGCTGCTCCCCGCTTGGGAAGGGAGGGGAGGCACGCGGGGGGCGCCGGGTCCGAAAGGAAGCGTTGTGCAACTGATCAGCTGCACGGCCCCGGGGCAGAGGAGGGGCGACAGCTTCCCTTGAGACACCAGGCCCCGGGCACAAGAGCAGACTCGGGCGCTTTTGCTTGGGCAGCTCCTGCGTTGCTGTGATTTTCTGCCGCTGAAACCTCTTCTTCCTCCCCAACCCCCGAGGCTGCAGCGATCAGCTGTGCCCCCCCCACCCCTCTGTCTCCCCAGGGACCAAGGGGGCGAATCTAGGAATCAAGCAGGGGATCCCTTCCATGACAGGGGGCTGGATACACCTGCTCTCCCCCCGTAATGCCGCCGCACTCCACGGGCAGAACTCATTTGGCCCCACCCAGGCCTCAGCTGAACTAATATTCCCCTGAAACTCGGCGGTTATTTTGCACGACTTGTGCCGGGTGAAGCGTCCAGATCGCCTGCCCCGGCTGGCTGCTTTAATCGCCACTTGCTGCCGTGTACGCGCCCTGCTAGGGAACATCAGGGCAGGCCCCGTCCCTCGGACCGTTTCCAGGGAGCCCATCGGCTGCGCCTGTCTAGCCTGCTGGTCAGCGGTGAAGGGGTTAAACTGTGTGCCGAAGGTGCAGTTCTCAGCCTGAACCCAGGGGGCACCAGCAGCTGGGCTGGGGGTGGGGGGCAGCGATGCTCCCCGGCTCCCCACCCTTCCACACAGCTCAGTTACAAGCAGAATCAAAGCCCCACAACTCCCCCTTCTGGGGACAGGCGTAGGGGGCTCTGGGATGCATCCCTGGGGGGGAGCAGCACAGCTACGGGAGAGGGTCCAGAACCCCGAATGAGGAAGCGGATTGGCTCCCCAGCTGGGCATTGCACCACTCCCCCGGGCTCCCGCACACCCGGATCCGCAGCAGCCTTCTCGATAGCGATCGCAGAGCAAGCCAGCCCCCGTCGCTGGGATCGCCCCACGCACCAGCCATCTGGCCGTGGTACATCTGGGGAGGCGAGCGAAGGTCCCCATCCACATCCGCAGTGCCGCAGGGGCCAGGCCAACAGCAATTCCAGGCGGTAGCGGGTCAGGGAGTCAAACAGCAGCGCTGGAGACGGTTGTATGGCTATTCTCTCCAATCGGGTAGGCAAACGCCATGCTTCAGGGAGGCCTCCGCCGGCGGCAGCGAACAGGAAGGAATTCCCCCCTACTTGGCATTGCACGGTAGGGGATGCCGCAAAAGCAACATGCATCGGCCTCTCTTGGAGGAAAGATACCAGACCCGATGAGCCAATGCCCCAGTCAAGCAGGAGGAAAACCCTCTGGGTCAATAGTCTTGAGGCAACCAACCATGCCTCTGGCATGGGCTCCACAGTAGCAACTTGAGCAGCTACGGGATTTATTTCGCTCCATTCTATGGCAAGACCGGCAGAGCACCCAGGCAGAGTCGCCAGGCAGCGGCGGGTTTGCGGGGCTGGTGGCCGCTCAGAGCCATCGGTTTCTCATTAAGACAGTAGCGTTTAGTGGTGGAGAGCTGGGGGGAGGGGAGGGGGCTTCTCCTTCAGCTGTGGCCCCATTCACTGGCCAGACACCATGGTTCTCACCAGGCCTGGAGCGGATCCATTCGCCTCCATTTGCCCTTCCACTCCACAACCAAAGAACAAACAGTGCGGGGAAATCTAAGCCAGTTTTCCTTCCCTGGACCGTCAGGGGCCATCTTCTCTGCCACCAGCTGGCTGGAGCCAGAGAAGAGCGTCCTGCCGGCAGGAGTTGAGAGGGCTATGGATGCAGCATGTTCAGCCCCGGGGAGGAGGCCTGCATGCCTACAGCCAAGGCCCTGGCCAGGCTCATCCAGCGTCCACCTTGGCCAGAGGGAGGTCACCATGATGCAAGGCCTCTGCAGGTATTTAAACCAGGGGCGATGCTGGAGAGCATCCGTGGAGGGCAATGCGGGGTGGGTGGTTAAACCATGGGAGAGAAGGGGGAACCAGCCACTTTGGAGTGACAGTGCCTGGGACTGAGAGATGGAATTTCAAGGGTTTTGTCTTAAGAGGGGTGGGAGGGCAAAAAAACTGGGGGACTGTGGGGTGCCTGTCCCCAGTGGAAATAGGCAGAACTCAAAGCACATGGGAGAGATGCAAGCCAAGGCAATGGACAGTCTGAGCAAGGAAGTCAGGACGGTCCATGGGCCAGAGGGAAGGCAGCGCTGTGGGCCGCTCACACCGGATCCAGGGACCACCCTGAGCTGAGCGCATCGGATTGCAGAGACTCAGAGATTCCCAGGAGGGATCACGGTCAGGTAGTCAGACCCCCAGCCCAGCACAGGTGTAGATCAATCTCTGATCATTTTCATATGACTTT